AATTATTCATATATGTATAAATATATACTGTTGTTGTTCGTCTGTCGGAAGTCGACCATGATCACTTTAATCGTCATTTGTGTGTTACATCTGATTGTGTCTGTGAGTGCGCAGATGGTGGCTAATGATAACGATCCTGGCTTGAAAGTTTCTTTTGCAGTAGAATTAGGGGACTTATGGGGAATTCCTTGAGTTAAAATAACCACCATGCACTTAGTCTGACTTCACTTTATGGTGCTAGAGTTAAAGGTAAATCCATGCATATAATGTAAACATGGAGCTGATGTCCTTGCTATTATACTATATAATGCTCCAGTTAAGAGCACAACACACTGCACTTAGTCATAGATAACCTTGTGTGTTTCCTATTACAGCTCTAGCCATCACATTATTGATAAAAATACTGATTTACTGTTAAACTCGACATTGTCACCACATGTACTACTTCATTATTTAATAACGCAGTACCTATAATTGAAGTTTAAGCGTCAGTTCACACGATCCACTTAGCTTCAAATGTGGCCTCAAATTTTTCTATGAACGCACTATTTTGTGAGTGTTAGTTTTTTTTAGGCCAAAATGTGACTTTTATCAAATAGTAATTTAAAAGTTGCGACAAGGGTTCATACAAAAACCACATGAAATGCATGATCGAAAATTTGATCGTATGAACTGACGCTAAGTTTTTTAAGGCGGTAAGTGTACTCTTAGATAAATAGCTACGGGTAATTGGGAATAAAATAATGGATGGGTGCTTGGTAGCTGAGTGGTCTAAACTGAGCAAATCTCAAGTTGGTGGTCTGGTTCAATTCCAGCACCTAGTCAAGCCCCCCCCCCCCTGGGTAGATGGGACCCTAGATGGCCACCCATCAAAGAGAAGGAAACTCTGAAATCAAACCCGTAAATGAACAATGAAACATTCCGACAACTCTTGGTGAGTGTACTCTTAGATAAATGGCTAAGGGTAATTGGGAATAAAATAATGGTTGGGTGCTTGGTAGGTGAGTGGTCTAAACTGAGGAAATCTCAAGTTGGTGGTCTGGTTCAATTCCAGCACCTAGTCAAGCCCCCCCCCCCTGGGTAGATGGGACCCTAGATGGCCACTCATCAAAGAGAAGGAAACTCTGAAATCAAACCCGTAAATGAACAATGAAACATTCCGACAACTCTTGCGAGTCCACTGATACCAAGCTGTATCATTAAATGATGTTCCTTTCGGTTATCCAAATGAAGGTAATTTTGATGGATGCTGTGAAATAATTGGTTTAAGATATGTGTTTCCAATATTATTTAGTGTAGAAGAAATGCATTCAAAACTTGTGAAAAGCCTTGATCTGGATATTTTAGTCGTCCTAGAAAAGTGTTTAGAATGTGAAAAGGAAATTCACTGAGACGCAACGTACAAATCATTAGTAGAAAAATGGAACATTTAGACATTTTCCAGAATTTTGTCTGCTCTTACAGAATACCTATGGTCTTGAATGTCAATTTTTTTTTCCAAATTGTTAGCAATGGTTCTAATGTTGTTAAGTTGACGTCCCGCTAGAGTAAATTCGTCCGAATGTGGCGCGAATGCTCTTGTACACTAAGCCCTAAAACATAAGTTTTGTAATAATTAAATATTTCGAACTGAAGACATTCTTTGGCATTTTGATGCTCAAGTGGGACTCATTTTCAATTCATATCTCTGCAGTTTAAATTAATTACATACAAAAAATATTTCTCGTTATGAAAATAAATGTTTATTTCTAGTTCTGCCTGTTTTATAATACTTTAAATAACCTGCTTACCGTGGAGTTATAGTTATCACCAATATTTTTTCACGACTGGTACACTTTGGATGATAGCTTCATTTCATATTGAACCGACTAAGACCATATGACGACAGAAATATTGCTGAAGAAAAGACGTGCTTAAGGCAAGGACGTGGCGCTATTGAGCAGATTCTAAACCTGTGAATATTATGTGAGAAATATGCTAAACACACAAACAACCCATAGCACGTCTTTGGTGATTTAAGAAGCATTCTATAGGGTTTGGTATTCTGCTTTATGGGCCACGATGAGGCACTACAACATCAATACAAGCCTAACCGGAATGATATGCAGCCTCTCTCATAAGGTCAGCGCAGTCAGCAGTGCAGTCTTCTTTAACAATAACATCGGAGTATGGTTCAAGACCATGGTTTGAGTACGACAAGGCTGCCTGCTCTCCCCTGTAAATAAAAATCTTTCTAAAAATAAATGTTTATTTTAAAGTTTTTAAATAAAAATGTATTGATACAAAAAAGTACAACTTCTACGAATCCACACAATGAAAGAAAGTCTGGTCCATTTTGAGCATGCTCTTGATGAGGACTGCACAAATTACGGCCAGCAAAGCTGGCACCAATTTTGCGTTCTGCAAAGTAAGGAAATATCCTTTGTTATTGTTACTTTCTTCATAGATTCCCCCCTTCCCCCCCCCACCCCCGGTCCTGTTTTCTTTCGGCACACACACGTTATTCACAAAGTATTAAGGACCAACTAAAATTTTTAGTTGTGTTGGCCTGCTCTTGAAAATAATAAATTTTCAATACGTAAGAACTTTTTTCCTTAAAATATAAGAAAAAATGTACACAATACTTTTTAAATTTTTTTTTTTTTTTTAAAGTATTACTTATAATTGTATGTACGTGCATAATTTTTGAATTAAAATAATTGAATAAAGCGAACGAAATATTTATTCTGGCATATTTTCGTTTGTCGTCTTCTATTGCTATGCATATTTATAGCAAGTTGATGAATGTATCATGTTCATCAAATAAATAGAAATATGGGAAGGACGGTTTTTATTTTGAAGCAATAAGAAAGATACACATGTAACAGGACATTGCTGAGGAGGAAAAGACACAAATGTTCACGATTCGATCATGAATCCTTCATCGAGAGAATAAAAACACATACTAGCACTCTTAGCTATTCAGTGATCATTACTTTTCTTATGAAATTCTGGGCAACTATACAAAGCCACTTCGGTCATATTGGTATGGGATGGTGTCATATAATCTCCGTTACGACTCAGTGATGATTAAATCTCAAGATGTGCTAGTGATGATTTGGTTATATACAAATCTACCGGAATTATGTTTAAACATAGTTCAAGGGGAAAAAACAACTAACAATTAATCATATTATGTGGATGTCTTGAGATTACTCTCTTACAGCCTCGGCTAGCACAGTGTTAAGCATAAAGACTAAAAGTAAAATGTATATGTAATCTACCTTTATCAAGATATACATTTAATTAATCCGACATCCCATTTCAATAAATTTTGAATCTAATGATGTAATCGGATGAGATTGTAAAGCTTTGATGCCAAGTGCATAATAAGAACAATTACAAAGGTTGGTCGTATTGGGCAGGCCCGAAACAGAAATTTCGGGCCCCTCGGCAGGGCTGTCCCGCCCCCCCCCCCCGAGGTCTGAGCCTCTAAACTATCTTTAGGCTTTATGAGAATTAAAAAAAAAATTGACAGATGGTATACTTTATAATGTTGTATACTTAAATAAGGTATGATTTTATACAGTTGTTATTTGAAAAAATTGTATTTTAAATTTATGGTTTAATGGTAGCCTATAATATTCAATTCAGTTGTTTTCAAAAATAAACTTTTCTCTCTTAGGCTGAAGCAAAATCGTTAATAATATCATAGCCAGTGTGGGCGTGTTCAAAATAGAGACCGGCACGGGCCGAATTTACCAAGCACGGTCTCTCTGGTCATGTCACGTGTGACTCGTGTTCAAAAATTGATGTTTATTTCAGCAGAAGAAAGTACTAAGACGATGGTTGACGGAATTGCATAAAAATGATAAAATGGTAAATAAGTACGGCAATATTCAGATGCTTGAAGTTTAATCTGATTGTAATTAATTTTAGTTAAGTTATATTTACAAAAGCATAAGTAATGCATTTTTTATAGCTGATCATAATATTTTCAAAAGTTGATTTCGGGCCCGGGCCGGGCCCCTAAAACTCGCCGGGCCCCTGGGCATTTGGCCCCCCTGCCCCCCTTCTCGGCGGGCATGGTATTGGGGTTGGTAATAATGATGTTAAACAAGACGGAAACCATTGGTACGTGATTTTATTATTTAAGTACACAAATTAAATTAATTTTTTTTTTAAATACTATATTGTTGGAAAACGTTTAAACTATTTATATTGTACACTCTTGTTTTAGTATTGTATCATTAAACTGTACGCTGCATTTTTTGAGAGACACACTACGGAACAATAAAATGTTGGTAATACTCATAAACAATATCTTAAAGGTACCATGCTTCCAGACTATTGAATTGAGCTGGTTTTGTATTAATAGCGATACATGTAATCTAACAGTATTAGTTTTTTTATGTTTAATATTTACACACATTTATGAAAAATCTTTAAAACAATTAGATTTTCAACCATCGTACATTCCTCATATTTTATATATAATAGTATAGATAGTTCTTTGGGTAATCTTTCATATTGTTCAATAATAAAATACATAACAACATTTACAAGCATAAATACATTATCACACAAACAGAGCCTCTCATATGAATTTGAATTCAGGTCAACCCAAATCGCAACTCGACTCTGACTGCTAACACATTGACTACACCAAATAAGAAGCGACTAAAGATTGTTCATGTGTCAACACCAGCACAGGTTTATGTCGACACAAGCCGTGTAGTATGTTGGTAGCCGTGTAAACCTATCACTGAACTTTGCTGCAAGGATAATTTTATAATGCATCTATTTACTCATTCAAGAATTAAGATATAACGATAAGTATGCAGGTTAAGTTAACTAAAACGATAAGATCAGTCTTTTGTTAACCTCTCTTAAATAAATAGATAGATGTATGCCATATACAAATCATATAATAAAACGTATCTCTTGTATGTGCTTGTAAGATTATTTTTATGACAAGGACTTTTCATCCAATCGAACTTCCTTTTTTGTCTTTCTACCAGATGGTTTATTATGTGTGAAATATCGGAAAGGATTAATGTGTAGCCAAGCGTAATTCATGTAAGTAATTTCAGAGTGTTAATTTGTATGAATTATGCTTTTAATATAAAAAAATAATATATAACATTATAACAACTGTAACATTTTGAACCTAACATTTTTTTGTTCTTTTTATTTTTTGTGTTTTTGTTAATGCCGAAAATGCTAAGCTACTTTCATCCTAAACAGAGTAAACGCAAGTGTAAGTATGGAAATATTGCACTCTATGTATAGTAATATGCTTATGGTGCGTAACATTCTAAGCAACAAAGGCATTTAAATAATAATATTTTTTTTTTTGCTGGCATCCGTCCGTCACAATGTGACGATGGAGTGGACTTCGTAGGACGAAATCCACATAGCCTGGGATTATTATACTTGAAGGATTATAAGCTGGTTCCCAACAGCAAATCGCCTCTCTCCACGCCGCTGGGTAACCCAAGGGAACATCATTGGATGATACAGCTTGGCACCAGTGACGTCGCAGGAGTTATCGGAATATTTCATTGTATCAATGTTATCCGCCTTTCGGGACTCCATCTCCGGGTTTGATTTCAGAGTTTCCTTCTCTTAGATGAGTTGCCGTCCACATCTACCCGGGGTCCCATCTACCCGGGGTGCCAAATGTGGTGTTTTTGCTCTGGCTGGAATTGAACTCCAGACCACCAACTTGAGATTTGCTCAGTTTAGACCACTCGGCCACCCAGCACCCATAAATAATAATATATGTTGATGTATAACGTCAAATCTGGACGAGCTTGATAAGATTCCGATTTAATATTTGGAATTAGCGCTTCAAAATGCAATATATATATCTGTGTGTGTGTTGTCAAGAATGGGAGTTCATTGATAATTGTTGCGACTACATATTATATATGGTGTGTTTGATAGTTTTAATTTGTGAACGCTCTTCCCATGCTTGACTCTATGACGTATTTTTATACTGATTGTGACGTATTGTCAAGACAGTATTGTGACGTACGTTTTATTCATCCGGCAGTCTTGAGTTGAACTTTGTGGAAGTAGGATGTGTATTATTTATGTGTATTATTCATGTGTTAATGTGTATAGTATATACTTAGATATTAAAGTACCGGTAACAATAAAAATAATTATTATAAAAAGTTCTTGAGTTTATTCAGTGATAGTAAGAATAGTACGACGTATTTAACGTGTGAACGAACTTAGGGGAATCAATCAATCCAAGTAGACTTAGGAGTTAACATTTGAGTGTGTGTGTGTTTTAATAACAGTAACAAAAACATAGTTAAACAGATATGTAACCACTATTTTTGCTTTGATTTTGTCTTACAGAGTAATTCTTACATTTTGAAATGCATTGGAGAATTTCAAAAGTCATAAAACTGTTATGTATTCTATTATGTTTTGGTATGTATCCACCGAAGTGTATTAACTATCCAAATGTACAAGAACAAAATGCTAATACATTAAAATATTATTCACAAATGGTCAAAAATTGGTCAAAACAACTATGTGTTTGTTTTTTAATACAGTGCATTAGGTACCATTATACGATTTTAAACATGAAATATATTTTAAAATTTGACTTGTTAAAAGAGAATTACGTAATACAGAACTGAAACCAGTGTATTAAAAACACGAAAGAAGAGCTAGGGCAGTTTACAATAATTAATTTGTTTAAAAAGCAATTCTATAATAACAACTATTTTAAAAAAAATCAATTAACTTTCATCTGATTTCTAAAATTTCTTTCCCCTCCCCAGTAACAAAATAATAACAAAATTAAAAACAAAATAAAAGTTTAATATCGAATGTGTGTGAATAAATATTTAGCCATTCATATTTTCTTGTGTGGATTAATATTTATCACATTTGCTTTATGCGTGTTGATAAATATATGCACTGTGTGTGGTTTTTTCCCTATTTTATAGTAACTAATTTTTATTTTTTTTACACCAGATCTAAATGTCGCCCAATGGATACCAGCTGGAACGGCACAATCCTTTACTTTTACTTCGCCAAATATTACTCAAACATTTCCAATTGTATGGTATACCTATCCCCAAAAATCAAAGTTATTTATATGCACAGAAAACAACGCCACATGCGTTCCATTTACCAATACCGTTCTTGAAACTTACACAGCAAATAAAACATCTAATTCCACATCTTATATAAGTACATTCACAATCAAGACAGTCACACCATTGCAACACGACAGTAGATGGTTATGTCAAGCTGAGTTCCAAGATGAGCACATTGAATCGAAGCTTTATAACCTCAGAGTTTATGGTAAGTTTTAACTTTTTCTACTATTAAGTATAACTTCTTCACAAACAATTGTTTTAATAATTTACAACTTTTTATGTTATTAACAACTTAAGTACAAAAAGGTGTATTTAGAAAAAAAATAATTAAAATGCATAAAACAACTTAAATTGCTTGTAGTTATTTTTTTTTATTGGCCTGTATTGTATAATAATTTTTTTTCATAAGTCACTAAAATTTAAAATCATAACCCACTCTAAATAAGACAGTGAGTTTAAACATAATATATTTGTCACGACACAGTAGTGTCGCTTGCAATGTGAATGTGTGTCGCGTGAAAATAACCAAGACAGGATCGACACATTATTTTAGACTTTGAAAACAACTGGAAAATAATTAAGAAAAGTAATGGTCAAAATAATGTAAATTGTACATAACATTAAAAACATTCGACAAAGTTAATTACTTTTAAAATAATTTAATAACATTTTTGACGAATAGTTCTCAAATTTATAAAGGTATAGAAATTCGATAGATCCGAATATGTCAATTCATTGGATATTGTCATTTATAGGAATTTAGAGAATTATGCTAACATTTTTTATGAAAAAATTACAGGTCCGGCTCTAAGTTTAGAAAACAAAGAACAAAAATAATTGTGTTCTTAGGAAAGAAAAATGTTGCTGATTTATTTGAATATTCAAATACAATAAACATGGGCATAAAAAAAGGAAAAAAGAAAATAAAAAGAATGTTTGAGGTAATAATCTTAGAGTCTCATTTTTTCAAATCATTTACAGTCTTTAATTTGGATTATCGAATTTCCAACAGTTTCCCCATTAAGGCGGAATCTCTTAATGATAGCTAAGGGAATATTCAATAGGATAATAGCCATTGATCTTAACACAGAGTTCACCAATCTTTTAGGTAAACAATCATCCAGAGCATCAAAAATGTATTCAATTATAATAAAAATTATATTTAAAAGGTAATTAACTGAGAACTAATATTTTGTCCTTTTTATTCCTTTGTAAATAAACAAAAGAATGCATTAGTAGCGAAGCATCCAAATTTAATGCAATAATAAAGTACACAGAAGCCATATTCAAATGGTATGCCCTAAAATAGTTGTTTTTTCTTAGTCGGGCTTCCAAACAAATTTTTTCTTTAAATTAGAAATTTAAAAGATATTAAATCCATTGAAGTCACTTTAAAATCAATACGAAGCAATAATCTAAATGTGTATTTGTTTGTTCTTCAATAAATGAAATGGTAACATCCAGTTAAACACAATAATGAAACGTTTTAAGAAACGAAACGCATATCTGCATCACTTGGAAGTATTTTAATTTTGATAAATTGTTTAAAAATGTAGATTTTGAATCTCTTATGTATTTTAAGCTTGCGGTTGCAACTTCTATTTCCGACTGATTCCTTACTATTTCTTCTGCTTTCTTTTAAGCCTATTTAGTTCTGAGATTATTTTCCAAATTGTTCCATATTTTTTGCATTTTATGAGTATTTCATTATGGGAAATGGCCTTGTTAATGTTGTTATATTTCAGCAGGAGCAGAATTGATAGAAATTCCTAATTGTTTACTTTCGATTCAAAGCTAGCGTGTTGAAGAGGGGACTCCAAAGAAGTAAATCTATAGGTAGAATGGCAGGCGTCTCTGTTCAAGACTCTAAACGCTACCATTTACGCGCCATCTTAACACGGTTTCCATTAGCTAACAATTTCAAAGAGCTCAGAATTATTCCAAGAAATGTTTCGTTCTCGACGACGTAGAAGGAACAGGCAAAACCTTTGTATACAAAACACTAATTCATACAGTGAGGGGTAGAGGAGACGAGGCAGTAACGGAAATGTTCTACCTGGCAGCCGTACTGCACATTCAGTGTTCAAAACACCTATTCAAATACCTGCAACGTAAAGCCAAATACAAGGATGACAAAAATATAGTTATAAAAAACCAACATTTTCATCTGCGATGAAGCACCAATGATACACTGTAATGCTGTTGAGAGACTGTTGTAATATCTCAATCAGAAAAATGCACCTTTCGGTAATAAAATCATTCTTTTTATTTGTAATCTTTGCAAAAAATGTCAGTTATGTGCCGTTGTTCTCGGGGCCGGACTCTTGCCTCATGCATCAACAAACAAGGTCTGTGAACCTAAATAAAAGTCCTAAAACTCACAATATGAGAAGCTTCGAAAGGGAACCTCGGTTTGTTTAATGGCTTCTTCATGTTGGGAAGGTAACCTGGAGACACGTTGGAAAGCATTCCTCATTATTTAAAACTACAAAACTCGTTAGCTCGACAGGACTACCACATCAATGTTCACCTCAAAACTAAGACCTGCTTACTCAGTAGAAATTCGTCGTCAATGTTTAACACAACAACAACACCCGTGTATCAATACAGTGGTTACATCAATTTTTTCCACTGTAAATTCCCAAAACTTGCTTCAAGGCTAATTCTGAGCGTCACAAACGATGATATTGTACTTATAAACAACATCGTCATTGATCTTTTACTGTGTGATAGAGAGACTTTCAAGAGTATGAATACAGTGGTTAGTAATGATCCTAATGATCAACTCATGTACCCAGAGGAGTCTGAAAACACCCTCACACCAACTGGAATGCCTCCACATATCCTTAGTCTGAAGGTGGTAGCCGTAGTTATGCTCATTCAGCAGTGTTATGCCATCAAAAGGTCTTTGCAATAGAACAAGACTCATCGTTGCCGGTATTTCAACAAATATTATTAAGTGCAAACTGATCGCTATCGACAATTCTGCAACTTTCTTCTTTCCCAGAATGTCTCTTCATAGTTCCGACAAAATAACCCTTTTTAAATTTTAACACACTGGTAATATAATTTTATTTTTATGTGTTTATTCTTTTCAGCTGTTCCCCAGACTCCTACATGTGACAAAGTATCTCTACTAAATGAAAGCAACATTAACATTAAATGTATGACAGATAAAGTATTCCCAGGAAGCATTTGTGTATTTTATATCATAACAAACGTAAGACATTTTAATATTAATATTAAGTAAATAAATATATTGTTTATATAATAAACTTTTTGTCACCGATGCATAACTTTTCTGTACAAAATAGATTTATGTTGCTGATTTCAAAGAATTCTTTTAAAAAGTATTATTTTTGTTAGAAGGTAAAAAAAAAAAAAATGTAAAAAAAAATTAATAAAATAAAATGCGAAATATAAAAAATGTTCATTTTTATCTATCTCTCACAGACTCTCTGCCCATCTCTACCTCTATATAACTCTCTTTATCTCTGTCTCTCTCTGTATATATATACAAGGAATGTAATTTAATTATTTATTAAATTGTTTGCAAGGAAAAATGTGTTGAGTTTTGTTATTGTGTGTGTAAATAACAAAATAATATCAGTAAAAAACCTTATGTACTCTTAGCAAACTTCCCCTTCTGAATTAAAGTATGGTCAATTGAGCTATGCACACCAACAAGATAACGCTACAGGATACTACAAGACCAGGTGCACTTATACTATTTCTGCAAACTTCATAGGACCTGGAACTCATACCTTTAATGTTATCATGTATCCAGACATCACATCAAATATATTAGAGGAAATGAAGAGGATAAGTGATTACTCGACGCCTATTACAATTGGTAAATTGTGTTTATTTATTTTTTTAAAGAGCTTTAGTAACACTCGTTTGTTAAACAGTAAATATCAATAAAAACATAGTTTGTGTACAGTTTTAATTAATACGTTTTTATGCAATGTATATGTGGTGTAGCCTGTTGGTGTATGCAGTTTGAGAAAGTTGTATCACAGAAGTTTGTGCAGATCCTTAACACTTATGACCTGCTTGATTAGTTTCAATATGCATATTGAACTTGACAAAGTTGTGAGACAGTAGTGATCCGTGGCCTTAATGATGCTCTTTGTAGTGCTGACTGCGATAATCAGTCACTAATGGTCATGTTGGAACTTAGTGCTGCTTTTGATGTAAAATACAATGAGCTTCTTCTGTCAAGACATTGAAAGCCATGGTATATCCAACGGATTAATTCGGCTGAGGGAGAACTGACTGAGTTTCCGCCCTCATCCTGTGGATTGTGCTGCTGCTGTTCAGGTTGTCGAGGATTGCTGTCTTGTGGTGAAATCGTGAATGTTATAAAATATCCTTAATTATATGACTATAAGACAGTGGAAATTGTATGTGGTTGTGATGCCTAGACTATTTCTGCCTGGATTCTGTCCATCCCATGGGATGGGACACTTGTTGTTTTGGATCCAATTAGGATTAGAGTTGATTCTGCTTTTTGTTGTCGTGCGCATTCTTTTGGCGTTAATTGTGCACCTATACCCTAAGGATTGTGCCCAATTTAAAGGATTTAACGAATAAATCTTACACATTTTTGTGATACTTTAACAGCAAAATGAAATTTTTAAAAAAATAAAAAAATATATAAATAAACAAATTTAAAAAAAGACATAAAATAAGAGAAACTAACCTAAGTCATTAACTCCATATAAAGAAATCACACATTTGAATGAATTTAAATTCACTTGTCATTGTTGCCAGCGTCTATGTGCAGGTAATCAGTGCTGTTGTAGATATATACTACTTTACTTGATGTGAGCCTCTTTTTAAAATGAGATAATGCAGGAGATCAATTTTTTTTAAAAATAAATCATTAAGTAGTAATAACAGTTTTTTCTCAATCATTTAGTGTTTGAAGCATGTTTACAGGTGCTAGCTACAAATATTCTTCAAATTGTAGGACTTGGTATCAGTAGCAAACATAAGATACAAAATGGAAAAAAATAGTATCTTCTTAATAATCTGTTTTGCTGTAATCGTGAAACGATGGTTCTAAAATTGTTGTCCCATAATAGGTTTTAAGAAGAAGGGTTCTGGTCTCATTTTAATGTAGCAGAACCACTCCTCTGTGTGAATTGTATGTGTAATTGATATGTTTTGAGACAAATAAAAGCACAACCTAGTCGTGAATTAATCAAAACAACAACTTTAGGTTTCCAGATAATAACGTATCTTCTATAGCCCGCATAATAACTGACACAACTTGTCGACATAGAGGTCTATGTTTCCCTAACAATACTTCTCATGTACGTCTCATATTTCTGCTTTATTTCCTTAATTATAATTCTCTATTACACAAAACTGTGCTAGACTGAATCGCCTATATATTGTTTACTTAGTAGTGAACTTGAAACAATATAATTTTTTTTGTGTATCTTTAAAGAATATTACACCTAATTTTAAGGTTACCCCAAAGCTGCGCTTGGTACAGATTGTTATTTAAAGGATTACATCAAAGAAAATGAGACAAGCACGTGTACATGTTACGATAACAACACAAGTTTTCTGCCGACACAAGTCACGTGGTCCACGGGTGATAGTAATAATGGAACACTTCACTTTATTGTACGCAGACCTTCAAATAGTAAGTAATTCATAATGAAAGGTATATTTCGATAAGGAATTTTATAAAAGCAACTTAAAATATAATATATTGTTGTTTATATATATATTTTTTTTCCTAAATGACATCGAATTCAATGAATCTAGTTGGTCAGTGCCATCTATGTGTTACCATTATCAAACGTTTCATAAATTAATAAACTCATCATTTACCAGGTCGAACTAAGTTAAAACATTTCATTCGAACAAGTATTTATTTTTATAAATTATACGTTTTAATGCATGGATTTTATATTTTTTTTAATGTAGCTGATTTTTTAAAACCCTTTTGATCCAAAAAAGTTACATTGTAAAATCTTTTTTTAAAAAGAAATACGTTGAATATTTATACAAACAGGGATATATATAAGTGAGTCATTTAAATTAAATTCAACATTTGTCCTTCAATAAATTCATACGTATGTTACATTTATGTTTGCTCTATAAATACATAGTTTAAAACAGTAAGGCGTAACTTCACCTTTGTACTAATAAGATTAAAAGTATCCATAAAATTTGTGGTGTATATTCCTAAAAAATATAAGCTTGAATGTACATATTATAAGCCAGAATTGACATGCGATTTTTCGGAATGTGGAGGACAATAATGATAGCGAAAATGTAGATATGGTGATAATTGTATAGTGAGGGAAATTAACTATTTTTTGAAATGTTATGACCGTTATAGTTACATTTTTAATCACTAGATATTAAAAGTAGTTGGACTTTTTTATGAAGAAGACAATTTGTATAATGGTCTATATACTTTGAATACTTTTAAAAAGTCCCTTAAAACTCATCTGTTTAGGTCCGCCTATGACCTGTGATGCACCCTTCTTTCCCTGCCTCATTTTCTGTCTCGGGTTGATCCTGTAGTATAGGCCAAAACGTGCCAAAGTGTCCTCGTTTTATAGCCATTTTAATTGTTTGTATAGTATAGTAGTTACTATCCTAATGTCTCATTTTTATTTTACTTAGTTTACATGTTTTTAATAATTGTAAAGCGCTTAGAGCTTTAAGGTAAGCGCTATATAAAAATGCCTAAATAAATAAATACAAAAAATCAGGGCTTTTTTTAAATAGATATTAATTGAATAAAATGACCATGTCATTGATCACATTTAATTAATGTCAATAAAGATTTAGAATTTTTATTCTGAAACCTTATCTTGAAAAAGATGGAACGGGTAAGTTGAAGTGGAGTGTTGACTTTTGACGTATAGTGCAGCTGATACTTTGTGTAGTTGTGAAGTAACATGGTTATAGGAAAGGTTTCAGTGTTAAATTAAATATTTTTTTAAAAATCTTTCTTACCCAAGAATGGTGTTTAGGAATGTAAGGGTGTTTTTCTATAGCGTAAAATTAATAACATCATGTTTGTATCTTCTATTTCAGCGGAACCGAGTTTTCAATGTGTAGTGTCAAACAATCTTAATTTCACAAATGTAATAATATATCAGCCAAGAGTTGCCTGTACGTATACTTTTTATACATATCAACGGTTAAAGATTTAGTTCTGATTTGACAATATATCATGTTAAAGCTACACTGAATAAAAGAAATGGCCGTTTATATATTCACATAAATGTAAATAAAGGTATAGCATGTAATGGTACAAAACCCATGTTAGTTTATTGTTTTGCCCATTTCAGACCCACCAGATATGAGTTTGACACTTAAAAACGTTGAATTGGATTTATGTCTTGATAAAAAACTTGACATTATTGGAAGCTGCTTCGTCAGTGAAAGTTATCCAGCATCGGCAATATCCATCTACATCAACAATGTTTTACTCGATGCAAACCATTTTTCTAATACATTGGACCACACATTCAACTCTTCCTACCAATCATCTGGTGTAGTCAACGTTACATGTCTAGCTTACAATGTAGCATTTTCTGTAAGCAAAACACAATATCTCACAATCAAAGGTATTTTTGTTAGACTTCCTTTGTTTATATATCAATCCGATAAATATTATTTATTTTGAAAAGTAAAAAAACAATTTGTAAAAAAAAAAATTAATCGGTTCAAAATAGTAATTAAAGGCTATTAGGCAAAATATATAAATACATTATAAGGTTATTGCTTCTTTTAATCCAGGACCACCAGAACGTCCAAATATTTTCCAGCTTGTTAGACAAGGAACAGATTCCTCCAGTGAAAAAACACAACTTTCTATAATAATGTGTCAGTCTGCAGGAGGTGTTCCGTATTCAAAGCAACTGTCACTGACATGTGGCACTATGGAGGCATACGCAACAAGTAACATCAAGCGCCACTGATTATGAATTTAATAAAGTATATTTTTTTAAAAACCAATATCAACCGTCCTATGAGAAATCAAATAAGCATTTAAATATTAATTTTATTTTGTTTGGTCACATTAACCATAGAAATAGAACACTTTGTTCTATAACATCTTTACAATACACCATTAGTGAGCACGGTTCCTTTCCACTAATTAGCTGAAGAAACATCCCTTAGCTCTTTAAACGCTAAGTTTTTTTTATGAGCATTGAACGTCTTATCACACTTTATATTCTTTAACTTGAAATGTAACAATACAATCGTATTGTATGTTGTTGTGGTTCTATGCATCTATTGTTTTCATCGTCACAAGACTTTTGTATCAATTAATTATGACAGACAACATTTATTATGTATGATTCTTTATTAAAAAATTTACAACTTACATTTTCATGAGAAATGAAAAAAATGTAAATTTCTTTTTATATAGTATGAAAAAAGTTTTCTTTTTACCAATAAAAATAACAATAACTTATGGTTTATTTCGCTTTAATATCAGTGATGATAACAACATAAACATATTGTTTCTTCTTACAGATAGTGATACAGTTATTTTACAAGTAAATGTGATGAGAACTCCGACAGATGTAAATTGCACGTGTGTTGTCTTGCACGAGTCGAAATGTTTACAAAACAAAACAACTGAATTTCTAAGATTATGTATGCACATGTTTGCAGTTTAGGATTTAAACGTTTATAGATTTTTCATTTTAAAAATAACATCAGAACATAAATAAAAATTAATAATTATAGAAATACATTTTCCATTGGCACATAGACATTATCGTATTTGATTAAAGCTATCATTAAACCTTTTTAGATGTTCCCTTTTTCTAAATATACCAAAAGAATACTTAATGAATAATTCCGCATTTGATTATTTTAAATTGAAATGTTATTTATAAATCTAACAATATTTTCTATTACATATAATTTATATATATATATGATAAGAACTATTTTTTCACAAAGAGTGTAAACACACAATAGGTTATATTTTCCCCAGATCACATGGATGACTCCAGTCCAGTTGAGATCAATTCTGCCGCTATTGCAGTTGGTGTTACACTCGGGTTGGGATTATTATTATCAATTTCTGTAAATATCTTCATAATAAGACGATATAAAAGTAAATATAACATTTATTTTTTTTCAAGTATCTAAATTTATTTTTATTTTTTTCTTAAATTTTATTTATAGCTTAATTATAACAATACCGCATTTAACAGGTAAACTAATTCATAAAATATAATAATTTTACAAGTAATTGGAACTTAATTAGTCCTGATGCTCATCTTAAGTATTGGCTAAATAAATTGGTTTCATTAAACTTTTAATTTTATATGCATTTATGTGGAAAAATTTATTATTCATTAACTTGTTATAAATATATATAAAATTAATTTATTTTATTTTAAAACTATATTTACATTCCATTAGATGCCATGTTTAAAAAAACAACAACATAGGTTTTAAATTTGGATTGTTAAATATTTCATAACTACAAACTTGAGCTAATTTAAGAAATGTAAATTCAAAATTGAAAACCTTACAATACGCAGCACTTTTAAAATTCGCACGTCCCTTTATTTAGGATTTAAAAGAGGGGATTCATCAACGAAAAGGTCGAACACAAAGTAAGCGTATTTATATCTCTTAATTTGATAAGTTGTTTGCTGATTGCAGTAGTTGAATGGTAAATGATTGTAGATTTAGTTAATTAAATCTGCAAGTACTGATACCATATAAACATATCTGAATTAAGCTTATTTTTTGTCGCAGAAAAACACAAGAATACATTGATATAGGAGGTAAATATGTTTACTTTATGTCTGCTTAAACATGCCAAAAACCACTTTTCATTCTTTTAATTACGTATACATATGTATTTATATATACATATGTATTTATCTCTATAAAATATAATTATATATTAGTAGATACATATCCATGTAACGCATTTTATTTCCATAGCAACGCCGTATGTTAACACAGAGTTGCACTCATATGAAACAGCCAACGTTAAACCCATTTATTCAAATGAAGCTACGTCACCTCCTCCGTCCCAACGGGTTGACAAACTAAATATCACTCACCATGGTAACATAAAGTTCATTACTTTTAGTTAAAGTATATAATTATTTCCATTCCAAATAATGCATTACTATGTCAAGTAGTTGACTGGCCAACCAGGACACTGGGAATTTCATGTAGATTTCTTCGAGGAAATGCAATTTAATGAACAATATCAGCTAATAAAACGTTGCTGTAAAAATGTTTAAAGGCCGTCACATAAATATATTAGAACATAATTATTCGGTGCATAATGCATGTCGTTTACAAAACAATACTGTACATCTTGTAATTTTTTTTTTTGACAATTAAAGACAATGAAACTGTAACAATTGGTGAATATAATTATATATATATAATTCATAGATTTTAGTTTGATATAAATAGTTATATATAAAAGATGAAATAATATGTATCCTAATTGTTGAATCAAGGTTCATTTAAACGTAATAAGTCGTTTTACTAAACAATCAAATTAGACTTACATGTAATTAAAGATATATAAATAGAGTCATTTATAAAAATCAATGTATTTGCACTGTTTTAAAACTATTTAAAAAAAAAAATTACCTAAATTATAATTTTTTTTTATTATCATTTCTTTCTTGAAACACTCGTTGTAAGGATATATGTAACCATAGGTGAAAGCTATCCCCCCCCACCCTCAAGTCTCAAGGACACAGTGGCGTAGCTAGGGGTGTGGGAGGGGGTCCAAATTCGAAAGTCCTCCAGGGCCCCTACTTGAGGGAGACCCCCAAAAGAGTGTCCGAATTTTTTTTTACATTAAATAATGTCACAATAATTTTACATTAAATAATGTCGAATGTCACAATGCAGGGGCTCCCAAAGAGGTCAAGTCCCCCGGGCTCCCAAATCCTAACTACGCCACTGCAAAGACAATACATATTGTATAGGGGTTTAGCCGTCTGTAATTTTCACAATACCATTTTTTACCTCTGGGATAAATTATTTTAGCTTTTTTTTTATACTATACTTTATTTACACTCGTTGTTTGTACAGTTCGCTTAAGGACACATCTAGTCAATGTTTTCTTTGTTTTGTTGCAATACTTTGTGTCACAACTTTCTTTTGACTTTTGACCCAGACCACCAGGTCCAAATCTGATTCAATACATTTTATAAAATATAAATATATGTTAAAATATTCTGAATGACAAATGAATAATTGTATTTAATTTCAGTACATTAACTTATGTAACTACTACATTTGATATCATTAGAAAGCTAAATAATTTTTTCTAGTTTCTTTATAATAATTAAAGTATGTTTTTTTGTTTTTTCATCGTTTAATGAAAAGGCCATTCGTAAGATAATATAAGAATGGATACCTTCGTTAAAAAAGCAATTATAAAACATACACATTTAAATAATAAAACAAAATTAGTAGCCTACTTTTTAGTTAGATTTAAATATTTAGAAAAAAAATTAATTTCAATTAAACCAAATTTTAAAATATTCCTATCATTTAATGATGATTGAGTTGTTCTTTTTGTCTCCTGCAACGTCTTGGATAAAAATCGACTGGAATAAATTAAGACAAATTAATTTCTAACAAATGCACATTATTATTTTTTTTCTAATGCAAGAACATATTTTTTTAATCGATCACTGTTGTTTTTCCCTCAGCTGACAAAGAAGACCATCCTTATGACGAGGTTACAGAACTCAAAAAATGATCAAGAGTTCAATATATGAAATGTTAGAACAGGCAGAACTACAACGAAAACTTCAGATGCTAATCCATCCAACTAATTGAATAAATCAGCCCTTTTAAAAAAAATTATTTTCACTTAATTTATTAAATTATAACATAGAAGTAATTAAATTTGTATCACCCTACAATATACATATCTACAAACAAAAGTAATTCTTTTAAAGACTTTTTCCAACGTTTACAAAACAGTATATTAATTATCATATGGCACAATATTGTTTTGGTAATTTGCAAATCTATATAATTGCAATTAAGAAAAATAACCATTCAATTAACCAGAATTATATATCATTAAATAAAATGGATTTTGTGAGGTATCTATATGGACAAAAATGAATATATTTTTTTGACATGAAGTGGCCAATTACTTTTGCTCTTTTAAAAAAAAAATATGTTGTTTCTTTTTCTATATTAATGATTAAGGATTTGATAAATCTTAAACGAGATAGTGTAAGAAACACGTTAACAATATTTCAAAATCAATTCTCCCTCTATGTTCATTTTTCTTTCTTTTATACCATTACTAGCTATAAAACAATACATTTAAGCCAAAAACCGTGGAATTCTAGTGGTGGGTAGTTTTCGTATTATGAGGTCTGGATATGAGCTACAGGTTTCGGACACTCAAGAGTGATCAAAGTTGAGATGTCGCTTTTTTGGGAGAACGGTCAAGAGCGAAGCCAGACTGGAGTGGAGCAGAAAACAGAAGTGAGAATACAGTAACGAGATAGAGAGACAAACATGATAGTCAGAGAAGAGTCAAGGTCTTAAATGTGAACAGTATAGCAGATCATTAAAGTGAAGTCTAGACACCAACGTGTTACTACCTGATTGTAGCACTACTAGAAAGAAAGTGACTGAGTTTACCATCCAGATAAAGTAGTTACAGAACAGAGACGGCCAAGATTCTCTACAGTATTAGATCCAAATATGACTTGTTCATTCCTCAAGTCCTACAGATTGTTCCTTAAAAGTTTTCAGCGTTTACTCAAAAACTTGTTATTGCTGATTTATGAATTTTTTTTTTTAAACTTTAGTTTACAAAAGTGTAACTAATTGTTTTCTAGGGGATTTTCTTGTAATTATACAGAATGGCATCATTTATCATATCAGGTGATCGAATTTTTCGATACTTACATTTTATTTTCTTAATTTTTTTGTTTGCAATGAAAAAAAACGCACAATTATGTGAAGATTGTTAAATTTGTTACAATAAATTAGCATTTTAATTTTAAAATATTTTTATTTTAATATGCTTTTGTATTATTATTTATTGGTATGAAAATATACCTTTAATATTGGTCTCGGAATTGGTTTGAGTGAATGATTTTAATATTTGATACAAATAAAATAAATTACATATACCAAATCAAGATTTTAAATGCATTGCGGTTAAACTCATCTTATAGAATAAAGAAATTCAACTAAACAGCAAGACTGCACTAATATTAAAATATACGACACCTTTTGGTCATTAGATATCATTTACTGTAACCTGTTTACATTTTCAGTCTTAAGGCTGTGTGAAAATGAGTACTATTAAATGAAACATTAGTGATAAATCAAATGTTATAAAAAGGTAGGTTGCATGACTTAAAACATTATTTGAAATATTATATTTTCTAAATATAATTTTAAAATAAAATAATAAATACCAAAATCCTACGCTACGTAATGGGAAAATTTTAGGTCGTGCAAAATAGGTGGGGTCGAAGAGGTCAATCTTCTTGCAAATACACATTTAGGAGGAATAGGATGACTAAATTCAGAATTTACGCACTGCCAAGTGCGAATTTAATTCATATACAGCTATGATTATTGTGTAAGCGGAAACATTGGGGAGATTGCTTTCTATATAGTATATTGTGTGTGGTCATAATTTGTATGAGAAGAATTAACAAGTACGATTTTAAAAATGTGTATTTATTATTTTTTGGTCATTGTTTCGTGACTCATGGACTTTTTTCATATCAGAAAATGTTTTATTACAATTTATTTTTTTAGAGGGAAAATATATTTTTTTTAAAAATATATTGTAATTGCAAACAAATGTTTTTTTTCTTAACAAAGATGTAATTATTTAATTAATTGTATTATTTTTTGAATTATGGTTGTTGGCAAAGTTGTGTAATATAATAAACACGTTTAAGTAATATATCATTGGAATTGACTAGTGAACGTAAACTTCACGAGGTTTCATAGACTTGCTTAATGGCCAAAGTATATTTATCAAATTATATCAAAAACAAAATGTTAAAATTAAAAAGTCTTAATAAAGTTATATTTATATCAATTATTATTTATATAATTTTGGAACAACAACAAATAAAATAAAACAATTAAACCTATAAATCAATGATATTAGACGTAAAGGGGGGTTGAACGCATTATATACATTTACTTATATCCATAATATATATATATATATATAAATATATATATAATAGTATGCGATCTTGTTGGTTATAAGTGGTGAGATTTATGTATTTGTGAAGAATAATGTGATTTATTTTTTTAAATAATGGGACCTTTATAAATATAAACATATACGTATTTCGTGCCATGGAAATGTCTAGATCCAGAGATATGAATGCTCAAATGAATGTGTTTTTGGAATGTTAACATATTTAATGATATGACACGTGTTACTTCGGTACTTGACCTGGAAACAATTTATCAATAGTAGGGAAAAAAGTAAGCGCCCTGGGATTTAAAGTTACAATATTTCTTTTGAACATACATCCAGGCATGGCAGCCCGCAGGTAGGGGCAAGGGGCACTTGCCCCCCCCCCCCACTGGATTGATTGGATAAAAATTTTTTAGACAAAAATAGACAAAACAATTATTAAAGTAAAGAGAAAATAAAGAGAAAGTGACTAAGCTGATGTCCTGTCCGTTCGTTCACCATACAAATACGCTACAGTAAATTAAAACTATATTAAAACATTACTAACATTTTTTGCCCCCCCCCCCCCCGGAAAGTTTTCTACGAGTGCCAATGCATCCAGGCAAGTGTCTGAGCATGTGTAACAGCTGTATATTTACAGAAATGTATTGTTTCGTTATATAGATATTAAGGGGATACTTTATACCCATTAGCAGTTTCCATTTTAAAAAGAAGAGAGGGTGAATGTGCTCGAATCGTCCAAGTAAAATGTTATAATTACAATATAATAATGTTATACGATGTGAATTTCATTTGTTCCATTTTGGATAAATATATATATAATCGTGAGTTGTTACAGTTCAATTTATTAATATGATGAATTGAAAAAATGCTGCTCCATCTAATTTTATATAACTATAACATAAGAAACATATGGCATTGTATATAGACTTTAAAGAACGATCTAAAAAGTTTCTATGTTGGCAACTTGAAGCATGTACCAGTTCATATGCGGTCCGATTTTTTTTAAATCAATATATTTAAAAAAAAAATTATTCGCTCCATACGCAAAATGTTTTCGAGTTCTGAGATGCAGACAAAAAAAGAATAAAAATGAATATAAAATTTATTGTGTTATGTTTATTATGTATGCATATGATACAAATTAAAAACAATAATTTAACTGTTTTATTACTATAAATAATTGCAGTTATAATTTTTAATAGTTTAGTCAAATTAATTCAATAATACAGTTTTAAATAACAATATTTAATGTGTATAATTATTGTTTACATATTGATAAAGCCGTGCGCTTTTTACGCCTCTAAATTTAAATAAGGCTAAGAACAAACGGAAAAAAAAATTAGATTTGATTAGAAATGTAAATTCATAACTATAACTATTCCCAAATAGCATACACACACACACACATGCACACACACATATGTTTCATGTTCTTATTTTATATTGCTTAAGGATTGAAACTAACTCGTTTGTTTTACTTTTCCGATACAAATTCAATATATGTTGATTAGAACAACAATAAATAATGAAATAAATGACAACTCAAAGTGAACAGGAAGTGTATCATATATATTATTTTTATTTCAATAAAATTTTATAAATTATACAACTTTTCAAATTACTAATCATTATTTACATCTAACAAGTGTAAGTACTAATGTATATATAATATGTATATATACATATACAAATACTTTTTAAACAGACTAACCTTATGTAATATATATTTCTTTTGAATGAAATGCAAAACTAATATGCAGTTCGTATAATATACGTAAACTAATTACTTTTAGGCCAACATATTAATGTTAGAACTGTTAAAGTTTGAAGAAAGTTAAAATTGTCTCCTAAATGTATTACTATTTTGGACTAGACGTTGTTCTGCAAACGCACTAGTCTAAGATGTACATATATCAGTGCATATTCACTTAGTTAACAATACTGTTTACACATGATTGTAAAAAATACATGACAAGCAAACACTCTGAAAACAACAACAAACAAACAAACATATACTATGATACACAATCGCATAGTACCAAACGTTGGAATTTAAACCTTAACAAAAAAATAGAATAATGATAACCAATCCAATAACATTTACATTCATCAAGCACGTACAAAAAATTAAATGATACAAATCAAGTTAAGTTTTTCTTTTTTTTTTTCATAAACCCGTGAATTGATGAATAAGAATTTCTGGTGTAGGTTAAGGAGCAGGGTAGGGGATTGTTTTTTAATTTTTTTTTTTTTTTGTTTAAAGTTAATTAAATGATACAAATCAAGTTAAGTTTTTCTTTTTTTTTTTTCATAAACCCGTGAATTGATGAATAAGAATTTCTGGTGTAGGTTAAGGAGCAGGGTAGGGGATTTTTTTTTAATTTTTTTTTTTTTTTTTTAGAGTGGCAATTGCTTTTCTCAGTTGAATAAAGTTGACGAAAATCTTGGCCTGGCAGCACTAACAGATCTGCATGATTTTATTTTAAAATATTAAAAAAGCATTATATCGTCGTAGAATGTTTATATTTTTAAATACAAACCAATTTTTATGATTTGGCACGTTTGTAGAATAATTTGTTACCAAGGGTTGAAAAAGGGCAATAATAAAGAGGATAGTAATGGTAACAATATTTAATTTACTAACAGGGTGAAAAATAACAAAAAGACCAAAAAATACAACTTAATATACAGCAGGTAAAATAATCAAAATACATATAAATATTAACATATATATAAACATGCAATAAAAGTACAATCTTGAAAATAATTTTGTAAGTACATGAAGTCTCTAAAATGTCCAGAATAATTTAAAAAATTCACTCTCTTTCGAAAAGAAAAAAAAAATTTGTCAGGGTTTTTTTAGGGACTAAGTTGTAAATGTAAATTCTAGAAATTGTGTCACTTGATATCATTGTTCAGGACAAAGAAGAACATATTCGTTTATTTTATACCAAAAGCACATATTTATATAATGTATATAGAAATTCCAGTTATTCAAAAAATATGACTGTCTGATTGTTAAACTGTATTGTTTTGGCAGATTTAATATTTTGGCGACTAAGATTTAATAAAATATATTCACCAAAGCGCAATTCTCTTTTTTATTATTCATAAATGTTCTGGTGAAATATTGCTTCTCAAATAAAGGATTTGATGTGTATTGAATGTAAGTACAATCTTAATTTAAATATTAATCAAATGTTTTTAACAGTCAGGCATGACTTTATATATATTACGGTAGTATGATTATTTCTAATGTTACTAAATCTTGATTTACATTTTTTCCCGGACCACAAAAATCTATCTGAAGCCGACATTTCTGACTCATTTTTCATGCATTGTTTGCCATTTATCAAAAGACAATAGAATTAAAGAGAGAAGATTCATTTTCAAGTCTACACAAAAAATGTATAGATTTTTAGATTTTTGTTTTGTTTTTTTGAAATTTAACTTTTTAACCAGATAACCATTTATTTTTCTTTTGTTCTTTTTGAGGAACCTAATGGCTTTGAAAGATTGCTATATAGAGTCATTTGGTTTGACACATTCAAAATGGTTCGATGACATATAATACATAACAATTGACAATACCATTGTTTAAATGTAATAAAGAAAAAACATTATTCCAACTGAAGCTAATTGCAAGTAACAATTCATTTACGCTAACAATTCAAATACCAAAGTACAAAATCAATATATCTGGAAAAAAAAATTAAATCCTTTTACTTGCAAGTGTAAAAGTGGGATAACAGAAATGTATACATATTATTCCACACAATTCACATCATTGAAACATCTTATAGGTCTTATAAGGCTTTTGTAAGTCTTTAGTAAGCCCTTTTACATAAAAGTATTGATTTTTATTTAGTCTAAGGTTAGATCTTCCTAGAATAGACTCTTTAGTTTAAAATGGACATCGAAGATGTCCATCTCTATGAAGGAATCTTCTAGTGAGTTAAAGAGAAACAACGGTCGGGTTAATTGCTGTTGACAGTCAGAAAAAACCCCCAGAGGAGTTGATATAACATCACAGCTGAAATCCACACATAACAAAATAAACAAATTTTAACAAAATAAATAGGGCTATAATAATCAAATTTGTAGTAATTATTAAAAAAAAAATACATTTCATTATCTCTTTTGAGCTTTTGATTTAGACATGCCACAAAATTGGGTTATTGAAAAAAAACCAACACATTTTCTTTGAGATATTTCTGATGTCATTGCTTAATATAAAGTTTTTATTTTTCAAGAAAGAATGTAGCTAATGATTGCTCTTCTTAGTTGAAGAGTAATATTTATTAAAGACAAGTACATCCTAAATATTAAGTTTAAAAGACACCAATTTAGACAAGTCTATGGGAAAAAATATTCTTAAGCTGATGGCTCAAATCGTTGTCAAAAAAAGGTAAAAACTAATGAAGTTATATTGAAATCATATTACTGACCCGAATTTCTTAAACCTTTTGTAACATCAGATATGTATTATTGATCCTTGAAGACATTTGATGGCCCACACATATGATAAAAGTAAACAAATATATTTCTTCGTAACCTGTCTACTGACTAATGGTACGTTAGGGTATAACCAGTTGTCAAGCGTATTAAAAAAATAAAATGAAAATAAATAAAAAATTAAATAACAGCCAATGTAGTCATGTTTTTCCCCTTCTGTGGCTTTTATATCAGGAAATGATACTTGCGTTCGTAATAAAGAGAAAATAAAGACAAAATTTGAGTACACTATCGAAAGCACACGCCCTCTACTGAAATATTGGCATCACACTGGTTACATATTAACTTTTTTGAAGCTCATAAATAATTTTTCTACTTGCAAATATAATATATGCCGTAATGTTTTAAAAATAAGTATGGAGGGCAATAAACATTATAAATAATTATTAAAACGTATGTATAAAATCAAGGTCTACAATTTTTGAACATTATTCATTAATACAATAAATAAAATTCGATTGTGTCCGCCGCATGTAACACTATGAAAAAAATGTTATTAATCTAAATACATATTTTTACAATTTATAGAAAACACTTTTTTTTTAATGACATCAAGATTCCGCACAAAAGATATTGAATAAAGCTGACTGAAATTTAAAAATGCAATCAATTAATTGAACACTATTAGTGTTATGGAGAGATGCCTTCAATGTGTATGTTTGTTGGTTTTTTTCCTTTAATCAGAACATCAAATAAACCTAGGATCCGCTCTAATACTTAAGCATCACGAAGATATTTTTATTTTTTGGCTTTTCTGATAGGTGGATGCTCCCTAATTGAATGAAAAACCTACAAAATTGATACAGTTCCACAACTTCCTAAGACCTAGATAATGTAATGATTTTGTAGCTACAGACTAGATTGTGTGTAACAAAATTGATGAAATAAAAAAAAACTAGTAAAAACCGGCCAAACACATGCGTGAACTTCGAAATTATTTAAGGTGCTTGGCCAAAATGTATTTAAGGGAAACAATATATATAAAATAGTGCTAGCTTCCTTATAGACCTGTATACATTGTATTTGTGTTGTCGAAAAGATCAATGCTTTACTGTGATAAATTAAAATTGTTGTGATCTCGCAATTCATCATATTTACCTATGTCAAGTTAATCCCAGATAAACTCTGCTAAAATTACACTTGTAATATTTAGAACAAGTTTACTACAGTGAAAGTCAATCACTGACAGCGATGGTGTATAGTGTATATTTTTTGTTACAGATTTCTATACATAGTTACCTAAGTCATTTTTATACATGAACAGACAAGTGTGAGTAATTTTTTTTTTTTTAAAGTTGTAATAAAATAGATATTTGTTTTAAGTTTGTGTTGCTAAATGTTTGCAATTTTACGTACATTTGTTATTACTTTAATTATTGTATTATTGTGCATTCTAAAACCAAGTAGCAAATATCAAACACGCTAGCTTATTATTATAAACATATAAAAATTAAATCATTGTGTTTATTGCGCAGTCCATATATATTTTAGTATGATGATTTAGCCTAAAGTGCCCTTACTAAGACAATCCGTTGATACAGTCATAGGTATGACCTGCGTATCAAAATCGGAAATCACAAATTGTATGCTTTTAAAAACACCGAGTTCACTTGCTTCACACATTTCTGTTTGTAATTCGCCGTCAGTAACCAAACTTGTCAAAGATTCATTTGATCTTTGATAACAAAATATGAACAATTGACCTGAATAGCATGCAACACCTTTAATGGACTTTTCTCCGTCCCATAGAAAATCTAAGAATGAGAAGATTATGTCATCATCAGGATATACTAATAATTCCCATAATGATCCATCTTGTTGTAAGATGTACACGTTTTCGTCTTGTTGGAAGCTGGAGATATTTTTATAAGGCCCATCAATATTTGGAAGGTTAGTTTTCTTCTTTGTAATCATGTTGTATCGAATGATCTCCTTACTATTATATGATGAGCAAAAGGCTAAAATATTATCATTGACGATTGTAGCAGCTTCAACAGTCATACGTGAAATAGTGATATGAACAAAGCAAGCATCGTTTGCTGTAACGAAAACAGCATCATTATCAGGTACATTAATAAGTTTATCCTGGTGACTCAGAAGTACACCATTTAAAGACTTATCTGATTTCGCAACAACCGTCCATTCCTTTAAATCTGGATCTAATAGTTTATATATAATATTATACTTCTCTGATCGATCATTTGTAATAAAGAAAATTTTTGAATTTATAGCTGCTATGCCTGTCGTATATGGCTTATTTTCTTGTCTGTCATTAAAATTATAAATAGTGTAAAAACACTGTCGTTGCAGGGAATAAACTTTGATTATCCCGTTTGTGATAAAAACCATGACATTAGATAATCCGCTGCATTCTCTATGCCTGACAATATAATGACTGCTGTAACACGACGCCTTCCAATGAAACAGAAGAGATTCATATACCACTTTTGAAGCTTCTGGGTTTGACGTTATCAATGGATTCACCATGAGTTTCTCAAGACGTTCACGGCTTGCTAAACAAAGTCTGGCGGCTTTTAATAGTTTTGTAAGCTTTTCTTCCATGTTGAAATATGTCGAAGACAATTTCAAATCTGTAGCGTGACTCACCCTTGTCAAAACATTAACTGAATCATTCTGTTCACTTTCCTTAGTATCTGTTGAACATTCCCGAAAAGAGTTTGTTAACATTTCCGAGCATTCTTTGTCATGATGTCTGATGCTACCATCTTGCAATACGTCATTCTCATTATTTGAAATTGTAACAGTATCCAAACGAACCCCATCTTTTCTCCTTTCATCATTTTTTTCTAAATGGTCTTTTTTAGCTTGATGATTGACCCATTTGATTACGGCCTCGACGACAATGTCTTCAGATTTAGCACTCAGAAAATGGTCTTCTATTATCATATATATGTCCTCAAATGATAAATTCAAGAATGTTGTACTTTCCCAAATATCTTCAAAATTATTAATCATAAATCGTTTTGCAAAGTGTCCAACACTCTCAGAGTTTAGCAAGATTGCATGATGATAAAATTCTTCAAAATTAGAAAGTGTCATATTTTGTTTGACAAAGTATTCACACTCTTTTACAAGGTAACGAATGTCCAGAAAATGTGTAGCATGCCACACCTGGATCACATTGTTCTCTGTGAGGCCATCTTCACCTTTGTAAATAGCATTTAAAATAACTGTAAACGTTTCTTTACTCATATTATGTATATTCGCCTTATTCTGAATAGTTTCGATCATGTTAGAATGCAAAAGTCCGTTAAGAACTGTTGAACAGGCACCCAAAATGAATTTGTGGCATGGGAACTCCTTGTCTTCAACAACAACAGTAAAATCGCTGTAGTCGTCATTGGTCCACCGCTGACCTAGGCAAGCCTGAAGGCCACAAGCGATGGAAGACTTAACCATGGATGATATTTGTTAATGCTGTTGAAAAAGAATAATATATATTTTTGTTAAGTAGTACATAAATTGGCTGGGAAATTTAAGATATCTCTTTCTCTCTCTCTCTTTCTTTCTCTCTCTCTCACTCTATTTATTTTGCATAATATATATATATATGTTGTGTATATTTGAATAACATATAAATATATAAACATTTTTGTGTGTATGTTTTTTTTAGCATTACATTTCTTAATTGAATGAATATACATCAATTGTTTACAAATAAACAAAAAAAATAGCTAATGTGATACCGTAATACAGTGGATACAAAACTCAGTTCGTCAGACCCGCCGACAGTACAGAAATTTTCTTGATAAAACGTCAGGGACACTAGATAGTGTACCACAATTTAAATAGTATTCTTAGAATACTAGACGATCTTGAGCGGAGACATCGTGGCTGATATGCGATTTAAATTTACTTTTTTTAAATTTAAATTATTGCTTTTATATTTTCTTGGTTATTGCACACAACTTAACCCGTCGAGATCCTAAATTCGTAAAATAACGCCCCAATATAGTAAAATACAATATCCTAATAGTAAATACATAAACAAAAGGTATATATAATCCACGTAATAACTAAACGAATCGCAGTGCCTACTGCGATGGAGTTGATGTCGAAAAAAAGTTAATCTAAATGTAGATGACTGATGTTTGCGTTCCCGTTTTGCTTGATGTGTATTTGATTTAGATCCTTAATTAGTTTCAGTGGACGCACATATCATATTATCTTACTCTGTCACTGGTAATAATAAAGTTACAGGAGACGCCGTCTCTCAGACAGGTGTACCGAACACCTCCGAAACATCACACAAGATAAACAGTGTCCCGTCTCCAAACACTTCAATAGTAGCGACCACCAGGGCAAGTCGGACTTTTCAATAAGTGAGATTGTGGCTAGCACGAACACCTCCAGCCGGGTCAATCTGGAACACAGACTTATCCTGACTTACGGCACTTTGACGCCAGATGGGATCAATGTTATGGCTCTTTTCACAGCTTGACCCTAGCTCCGCCCCTCCACGTTCTGACCTATCACAGTGAACTTTTTCTCCCCCTTTTTTTCGCCACTGATTATTTAAACTCTCACTCACTATTCTTCTGCCACACTTGTATTGCTGCCTACAGATACTACTTACCAGCTAAGTTATATTTCTTATTTTTATTTTTATACCGTTTTTTCTATTGTTTTGTTCGCTGACGAAGGCTTTCTGCCAACACGTTCGCTGTTTTGTTGCGTTTATTTTTTTTCTGTTTTACTCATTTTATTTAGAATTAACCTTGCAGCTGAGATTTGAAACTTTTGTTATTTTTTTTAATGAAGTGTTTTGGTGAACCTGATAGAAGAGATAGCAATATTCAAGACAAGAGAGAAAAAAGCACAGACTAGGGTTTTTGTTGCGCTAATTGTACGGTAGTGGCGGATGGAGCTGATTTCACAGATAGTGAAATATGAAAAGCGACAAATGTGAGAGATATGGTTATCAAGTGACATGTTGTGAGACAGAATATAACAAAGATTCCAACCCAGTTGTTTTTTTATAGAGCTGCGTAGAATTAGTCATATCAGACATTTTTAATGTTTGAAGAGGCTGATGTCTGCATTTGTGCTATTACACGTGGAATACTGTGAAGCTCTCATGATGGGTATTCCAGTTACGGTACTGAACAATTAAAAATCACAGAATAATGCGACTCGCATTATCGTTAGCAAACAAAAATTTGACCATGCTAAAACACTTCGGAGAGAGCTGCATTGGATGCCTGTCCGCGTGCTACCGCTGCTTGCATGAACTGGCGCCGTTTGATCTCAAAGCGCTCTTGATGCCTTATGTACCCACTAGACTGCTCCGCTCATCCGATAGTTGATACTCTATATACCGGGAGTCTGCCTTGAGAGCTATGGAAGGCGCACTTTCATTTTTGCTGGCCTAATAATTTGGAACATCCTTCCTGTCTCCCCCTGAAACCGTCAGACACTGCAGTCTTTCTGAATTAAAACTGAATTTAAAACATATCTTTTTCGCACCCACCTTCTGCTGTGATGGAGTATTCCATAGACATCGCTTAAGATGTCAACATAATTTTTTCCGAAAAAAATATTAGTAACTTGGAGAAAAATGTATTTAAAAATGTTCAGGTCTTGTCAAATTAAGAGTGGTATTCTTCTGTATTTTTATGTTTGTAAATTTAATGTGCTAGTTGAACTTCAGTTGGAGCTGATTGATTTGCAAGCAAATACCTTTTTTTAAAAAGAGAAGCACAATTCAGGAAACGTTCTTTAATGCTACAGCTGATTCACTAATGTCTAGTTTCCGAAATTGATGACATTTGTCTCTGGTATATCATCAGTGTAAAGGGTATAAAAATCACTGTTGTTATGTGTAGATTACTATTGTTATTTTTGGTAGGGAAACGATGTTTTGTTTAGAGATTTCATGTGCAGCTGTATCTATTGTGTGAGAGTGTTGTGACTTATTTGTTTAAGGGGAAATGACACGTACGTTTTGGTTGTTGTTGATATAAGGTATGGATGACCGTTGTGTGATATTCAAGGTGTAGTTTGTTTCTGTGTGTAAGTATTCGCTGGATAGATCATTGAACTATTAAATTGATTAGTTAAGAGTAGCATTATTGAAGTACATTGATCCGTCAGTTTTTGACGAGGCACAAAGAAAATTATAGCATCGAACTCATATCAATATATTCAGTGTTTAATGTGTTGTCGGTAACACTGGTCTTTATGATGAAGTAAGAGACAAGGATGTCCCACGGGTGAACATCTGATTTCGAAGGTTGGATGAGCACAGGACCTTAAGAGTTACATTTTGACAATCAGTGTTTGGAACAACTTGTGTCTATGAGCCAAATGTTACAAAAATGAAGTATGTGAAAACATCGAGATTTGCTGTTAACATTTTTTTTAAACCTCTTGATTGGATGCAGCAACTTCAATCCAAACACTGAGGATATCTTGAAAGCAAAATGTTAGTTTCACAATCTAGCTGACCCTGTTCGCTGATTAGCTTGTGATATTCGGTTATCTGGCATTAGGCTAATGTAAATATCTTTTTTTAAACGTCTCTTTTTTAAAAAAACCTTTTTAAGTCACTAAAAATGTTGATTTTCTATTTTGTTTCTGCATTGCACGCCATTTACCTATGATGAACATAAAGTACTTATCTTAGTCTTTTGTGATTTTTCACAGACTTTCGTTCTGGCTCACAGGTATTGTACATATTTGTTATGGGGTCTGCCCTCGTTTTTTTATCAGCCCTATTTGAAATAAAGATTTGTGATCCCTGCCCAAAAATATCTCTCACGTGACATTAACCTTGGCACTGACTTGGCGTTGACTAAAGCAACAAAGAGCTATCACTATATTTCTTACAAAGTATTGACGTATGGTGTACATTTTTATATAGAATTGCTCCGCATGTTTGTGTCGATTCTGTTTTTTGACACTTCATAAAATGGCTTAGAAGACTTATCATGAATTGACAGGCTCATCTGCATATCTCGAAGGACAACCTTAGCTTTGCATACACTTTAGTCTTTCGTTAAGCTATTTTTGTTGCATGGCCTACAATTCGCGAACCTTGGGCTTATTTTACTGTACATAAACTGCTGTTAGCAATTAGAACGGTGTTAAGAAGATCACCTCCCTTTTGCCCATTTTGTGAAAGTTGGTGATTTTCCACTCATTACTGGAAAATTGTTATCCACAGTTCACTGTTATACTGACGCCTAATGAGCACACATGCCTGAACAAACGTTACAATTTCCTGATTAGAGCAGCTTCATAACTGCATTACAATATTTTTTTTTTTAAATTTATTGATCGTTTTTTGTTACTTTGCGATATTGATCTTCAACATGTGTTCATCAGAGAGTGGGGTAGAAATATTGGACCAATTGTATGTTAATTTTTCATCTACTGATGTTAAATTTAATTGATGTTTGTATATAAAATGTGTCTCTAAATTATCATCGATTGGGAACACTAGAAAAAGGACATAAAACTACAACATGTAACCACATCAGTTCCAGGACATTGGTTTATACAGCCCATTTATATAGTGTCATCATGTTGCTGTCTAACTTTTATGATGCCATTAATTTTGATAACAGGTGATTTAACTTTGAGCCTCAATAAATGTCAAAGTGAAAAAAAAAAACTGGTGAATCTTTTCACTGATGTGAGAAAGAGTATTGTGCCATTCAATGTTTGTTTCAAAAACAATGTATTAATAAACGTCTGCGTTTACATCTCACCAAAGGGAAATATTTTTTCCTACACATAATAAATCTTCCTTTCTATAGGATACGCAATATGTGATTTATTATGATAATACATATAAGACATATCGAGTCCTATACAATTCTTCCACCCCCCCCCCACCAAAAAAAAAAAAAAACGAAAGAAATATTCTGAACAGCACGTCTAAAAAAAAAAAGTTTGCCTTCAGCAAGTTGAGTGATCAGTATTGACCAATGTCTCGTGTACCGGCACAGGTACGTAATATTTGGTTGCCTTTCCGCACAACATGAAACAAAAAAACAACTTAAAACTAGTTTAGGAAAACTAGCATAAAGAAATAGAACTTAGTCTAATGTGCTAGCAATATCACCTAATATAAAGAAAATAGGACATATTTAGGGAGGTTTTCAAAATTATATTTTTAAAAAATGCACTGGCCCTCTGTAGTGGTAAACGTATCCAATGGTCTCCTAGACTTTTTTTTAAACACTGTGCTACGTTATTTAACTTCTGGTCCAGTATACTTTATTACATTGAAATATCATAAATAATGGTATGAGAGGCATTTGCAAATAAGTTAACCAGAGGGACATACAAATGACCATTAAAGACATAGTGCTTATATTTTCCATCGCAGACCCACCAAGTAACAGGGTTTACATAATTAGTTAAAAATGTTAATGAAAATGAAATATATGTCTACCTATTTGTCTACATGCCTACTTCTTTTTCTTATTTTTCCTGTCTTTGAGTTTGTCTGTTTTACCATTTCAGTCTTCCAATTTTTTTTCCTGACAATGTAGAAATGTAATCTTATCTAACATAATTCAATTAACCTGACCACGTTTAATCTAAGACATACATTTACTATGAAATTGTACTTACAAAGAAGAAATGTTTAACTTTTCAAAAAATATGACTGCATTTGTGCAACTCTGTCTTTAGACCTCAATGTATTCGACACATCAACACAGCATTGACTAGAAGTTTTGTGAATATTTGGTTTCAGTTTCCTCATTTTTATATCATCAAATAAGCGAGAAGTTAATGTTCGTCAGTCTAAATATGTAATCTTATCCAGTGGAATCGAATGCATCCGTCTATTAAGTCTTACTTATTATAACAATAACAATAACATTTTACTTACATTTAAGAAATAGGTATTTAAACTGTATGAAAAATTCTGACCTCATTCAGTTTAGATAACATGCTAACACGGCATTGAATATTAGTTCTAGGAAGAGTTAGTTTTGGTTTCAGTTTCATTATGATTACGAAGTTGGTAAGCAGGAAGGTATACTCGACATAGTTTCTTATTGCTGTAGGCAGCTCCTCATTTTAACGTGACACGCACAATTTTAGGTAAACTTTTAAAAGTTGTTAAAAATAATCAAATTTACGTCATTGTAAAAATTTATTTTTAAAACAATTATTTTTTTAAAATTCAAAATTAAATTAATAGTAAAAATTTTTCAAAAGGTAAAGACATTTCAGCTTAACAATTAAAGCATTGAAAAAAATTCCTTTTTTTAGGTGAACAGTTCTAAAAAGAAAAGGTAATATAAAAAAGTAATATCTTAAGAAGGCCAGATCATTATTTTCACAAGTATTTAACAATTCAAAAACAGAAAAGTGATGGAAATATTGAAGTAGATGTAATAAAAACATTTTTTTTTCCTCAACAAAGAGATAACCATTAATTATTTTTTATGTAAACAAAATAAATAATAAAAAACACTTGAATAAGTCAATTAATTTCTATTCACATTATTAAACTATGAAAACATGGGCTATGCAGCTTAAATTAATTACGGAAGTTAATGTAAGGGTTTATTAAGACGCGACACATGGCTAGGAAGCTGATAGTGTCTTTTTGGGGATTTTTTTTTTGTATCTGTAACATAAATGAATTTTGCGGAATATATTTCACTTTTTAATTTTTTGCAATGTCTTTTAAGGTTGGTGCAATGTGTGGCATGGCTGGTCCAATGTGTTCATGGGTTGGTGCAATGTGAGAGAATAGTTGTGGTGCAATATGTAAGAGAATTGGTGCAATAGTGTTAAGCGCATGGTGTAAGATGGTTGGTGCAATGTGTGATATAAATGTTGCAATATATGTGATCGTTGGTGCAATGTTTTAGATGATTGATGAATGTCATGTGTGACATCGTTGTGAAATATGTTAGAGGGTTCTTGCAACATGTGAGAGTCATGGTTGCGATGCATGAGATGGTTGTAATAATGTGTGATGCAGTGTTTGAGATGGTTTGAGTGTTTGAGATGGTTGATGCGATATATTAGGTATTTGGGAAAAGGTGTGAATGGGTTGGTTTAAGGTTTTAGATGTTTGTTCCAATGTGTTTGAGGGTAGGTGCAATTCGTGATTGTGATTGTGCAATATGTCAGAGGGTTGGTGTATATTTGGGAGTGTGGGTGTAATGATTGAGATGTTTTGTGCAATGTATGATATGCTTGTTAATATGTGTGATATGTCGAACCGTTAAATCTGTTGTGTTCTACTAATCCACGCATGGCAATGAGTGACTACTTGTCTGGCCAAGTCTCTCACTTGATCCCACCAACGGTATAGCTAATATCAAAAAGTTAATAATAGAACCAACGTTAACAGGTTAGTAGCTAGATAGGTGTTTATTTAACACTACTCCATTAACTAGGGTTGATGTATAATTTCAGAATTGATAATTAAATTAATACAACTAAAGACTGCTCAATATGGAAATCCAAACAGTTCATCCAGCACATCCGCCATCAATTTTCCCTCACAACACCAAAACCAACGCGTCACTTCCCATTACACAATTACGTCACAAAACTCTCACACAAATGATACATCTACACGTAAACTCTCTAAGTCAACATCCTTTCCCTATCAAACATAACAACAATGCAATACACATAATAACAGGGATTCTCATACCCTTGACATGATATAATTGGTGGGGGTTGGGGCGATCTTTGCGATGGGTTTGCAAAAGTATTAGATTGGTTTGGCAATATCTGAGAGGCTTTGTGTAATGTGTAGGGTTTCTGGCAATGATTTAAAAGGTTAAGGGCAAAGTGTAAGATGGTTGGTGCAATGTGCAAAATTGTTGATATGATGTGTGAGATGTTGGTGCAATGTGCGCGATGGTTATTTCAATGTGTGGGATAATTGGTGAAATGTGTGAGATGGTTTGAGCAATATATTAAAAGTTTGGAAAGATGTCTGAATGGTTGTGCAATGTTTGGGAGTGTTGGAATAATGTATGAGGTAGTTTGTGCAATGTTTTTGCCTTTGGTGCAGTTTAGTTAAGGGTTTGTGCAATATGTAAGAGTCGTGGTGCAATGTATCAGATTTTTGGTGTAATGTTTCACATTATAGTGAAATGTTTGAGATTGTTGGTACTATGTTTGAGATTGTTGGTGCAATGTGTTAGTTTGTTGGGCAATTGTGTCAGGTAATTAGTGCAAAGTGTGAGTTGCTTGTTGCAATGTGTAAATGTGTGATGATTGGTGCAATTTGTGAGATGGTTGATGCAATTGTGAGAGGTGTGCAGATCTGACTTAGGTTGTACATGTCAGAGGTATCTCTCGTATAAGGCGTCCTCTTTGCGCTCTGTTTAGGAGATTAATCTAATGTATCTAAACAGAATAACCTATATATGTACATATAGACTAATATGAATTCTATGTTAAAAGAGAAAATAATTACACGTATCTTCTCACTAAGGGTATTTACATTGTACTTCCTAGTCCACTCCTTTGTTAACCAATAATAACCAATCTATATACATATAGAATTAAGTGAAGTCTTTGTTAAAGTAGAAAATACTTACAAGTATTTATTTACTAAGGCCATTTACATTTAACTTCATAGTTCACTACTTTGTTAATTAATATATTTAAAAATTGAATACTGTAAAATTAAGATTGTTTAGTAATGCAATATAAGTGTCCCAAAAATACTGATAATATCATTATTATGAATGCAAAATTTGCTTAAGGTCTTATGTACAATAGATGTAAACTTAGCCTTTATAGTTTCACTGTTGATCTCAGCGAGTCAACAAGAATGCGAAGTTCTTTTGTTCCAAAAGTGTGTCCTTCGTTTTTATCGTTGGGGATTATTTTAAAGTCAAGCAAGTGGGATTTTTCTGTTGTAGAATCCTAGTGATCTCTGTGATGGGGAAGTAGACTCTCCAGCAATAAAATTGGATGGTAAGAGTCCTTCAATCTCGAGGTCCTTATCGTAGCTGTAGATCGTTTGGTGTAAGACGTAAAACGGTCCCCTAGTTCCAGCTTCAAGGTACGTCGGTTCAGTAAGAATAAACCAGGCTAAATGCAAAATAACACAAAATAGATATGAAATATCTAGTCGAATACTCATAACCTAACAAGTCACATTCCAACAGCAACGAATTCAGATAGCAGGTTACATAGGTTGTAAATATACATATTATATAACAATCACGATCGAATCCTTGCTACATAAATAAGAACCAAAAAAGTGCAATATTAAAAGGTATTAGAATCATGGTAGCATACTTACTAGTATTACAGGTTGCAGGTAATGATCACGCTCATGGAGGACTAAGTATAGCAGTCTACAGCAATCACACTCAAGGGATAGAATCATAAAAGACAGATTCTGATCTGCGTTTGCTAATTTTTAAGCGAGGTGATTATTTGAACAGGCTGGTTTAAATGTTGTCTGTTTTCCGATCAAATGACAATCACGCAAATTTTACATATTCTACCTTGTACCCAAACATTTTATAATGGAAATGGGCTGAATACAACAAACAAGATTTTGCGTGAGTTGTCACGCGTCAGAATGTAATAACAAAAATTACACGGGCTTTCCTATTGGAAGGGCTAAAATGTGGAGGGGGGTTGGGTATGACTTTACACAGCTTCTTCTTCTTCTTATATTTGAGATGCCCACGATCAATTTGTTGATAATTCTGGCTCTGGGTTTAAATTCAGAGTTTACCTTATCTTAGATGGGTTGCCGTCCAAGGCGGACGAGACCCATCTACCCGGTGTGCTTGGGATGTTTTGCTTTGGTGGGGATTGAACTCCAGACCCCAAGCTGTTTGGTTTGAGACCGTTTAGACCGCTCGGCCACCCAGCACCCAACTAAATTACTGTGAAGAATTTTACAATGACCAGCCTCAAATAATCACAATAGGGCTGGTGCGATGTTATAGAGTGTTGGTGCAATGTCTTAGAGCATTGGTGCAGTGTCTTACAGTGTCGGTGCAATGTCTTAGAGTGATGATGCAATGTCTTACAGTGTGGTGCAATGTCTAATAGTGTCGGTGCAAGTCTTAGAATTTTGGTGCAATGCCTTAGTGTGTTGGCGCAATGTCTTAAAGTGTTGCTGCAATGTCTTAAACTGTATATGCAATGTCTTAGAGTGTTGATGCAATGTTTTAGAGTTTTGGTGCAATGTCATAGAGTGTTTGTACAATGTCTTAGAGTGTTGGTGCAATGTCTTAGAGTGTTGGTGCAATGTCTTAGAGTGTTGGTCCAATGTCTTAGAGTGTTGGTGCAATGTCTTAGAGTGTTGGTACAATGTCTTATAAAGTTGACTCAATGTCTTAGATTGTTGATGCAATGTCTTAGAATGTTAATGCATTGTCTTAGAGATTAGTTGCAAATCTTGACAGGGTATGTGCAATTTGTGAGTTGGTTGTTGCAATGTGTCAGTGTGTTTGTGCAATGAGTGATATTGTTGGTGCAATGTGGGCGTTGGTTTGTGCAATGTGTATGTTTGTTGGAGTAATGTATGAGAGGGTTGGTGTAATGTGTGAGATAATTGGTGCAATGTGTGTTTCAAATGACAATCATGCTAATTTTAAATGTTCGACCTTGAACCACAAAGTTTATAGGGGAGATGGGCTAAATACAACAAACACGATTTGGCGTGAGTTGTCAAGAGTCGGAAAGCAATAACAACGGAAATTACACGGCTATCCTATTGAAAGGGCAACACTGTGGGAGGGGGGTTGTGTATGATTTTCAAAGGCTAAATTACAGAGAAGAATTTTACAATGACCAGCCCCAAATGATCACAATAAGGTTGGTGTAATGTTTTATAGTGTTGGTGCAGTGTCTTAGAGTGATGATGCAATGTTTTACAGTGTGGTGCAGTGTCTTAGAGTGTCGGTGCCTTAGAGTGTTGGTGCAATGTCTTAAAGTGTTGGTGCAGT